TTGTGCAAAGCAGCGTGGTTAGCGCTCAGCTCAGCAAGCGGCTCTGCAGGCCTCTGGGGAGGCAGCCACACAACCATCCCCTGCTTTGGCCAATGTATTGATGGGCCTTGTGCAATCTCTCTGGCCTCACCAGCTCACCAGCAGGGGCCAAGTTCCTGCCAGAACTGCATGCACACACGTTCACAATCTCTCACACGCACACGCTGGGATTTCTCGTGCAAAACACTCAGCACTCAGGCCTGACGGGAGCCTTTGGGAACCAGCAATTCTGCACACAGCCCAGGGAGGGCGCAGGGCAAGGCGGCTCAGCCGGCATTCTCCCCAGCCCCAGCCCAGCCCCCCTTGAGGTCCCTGTTTCCGCTCCCCACCCCCACTTGGGCCAGAAAGAGCAGGAAGAGGAACTTCAGGCTGGGAGGGAACAGCTCAGCTCCCCCCCCCCCCCACTTCCAATGCTGCTCTCAGCCAAGTCACAGGCTTCTCCACTGAAGAGACCCCAAAATACTTTTCAAAACCCCTAGTCATCTTTGCTCCAGCTCTAGTCAAGCTGCAGCCCCAGAAGGAAAACTCAGTGGAAAAAGAGTCGACAAACTTACTGTACTGGGAGGTGGAAATCAGTGGCAGAAGCTCAGGTATATAATCTCATTGCCAAATGGCAGCTTAAACCTAGGCTGCTGTCGGTACAATGGAATGTATAGGTTCTGTCCCCCCCCCCATGGGATGTTGTTGTTGTTGTTTAGCCGTTTAGTCGTGTCCGACTCTTCGTGACCCCATGGACTGGAGCCATTATTATTATTATTATTATTATTATTATTACTACTACTACTAGTACCATTTCTATACCACTTTATATTTTAAAGAACAAATCTCAAAGCCATTTACAGCACATTAAAACATCAGATAAAACAATCCAGAATAAAACTAATTCAAACTTCAAGGAAAAAATATTTCAGATCCTTCTCTAAGGAACGTTTTATTTTCCTTACTCACCAGCCTGGCATCCAGAGATCTCCATGCGGTCACAATGGGACCAACGCCAGACAAAAAATGCACCTGGCGCCTGGCTAATTTTGAACGCTGGTGGAAATAGCTGGTGAAAGCCTTCCCTACTTGGGTGCCCAGCAAAATGTCAACCCCATGGCCCTCCTCCACCTCCGTCACATCACTCAGCACATGATCACACAAGGGACTGCGCCCAACCCATCGGGCACAAGGAAATGCTGGACGCCTCCCAGGCCTGACTCAAGATTTCTCAAGAAGCAGAATGCAACCCAGAGAACCTACAAGGCCACTGGGCCTCAGCGGAAGAGGCATCTGCACCTCAAGATCCACACGCTGCACCAATGAGGCACCTCCCAAACAGGGGTGCCAACTTGAATAGAATATTGGGGGGCCCAGGTAAGCCCCACCCCACATAATTGCATGCACGCACACCATTTGAATGATGCAAGACCAGAGGGACCAATGGCCTGGTCCAAGAGCCTGGGAGTGACAGATTTGCAGGTGGAGGTTCAACCGGGCCCCACTCCTGCCCTCTTAGGAGCAAGTTGCTCCCTGGGAGCTCTCCTTGGTGCTGCAGCAGCCAACCTGCCTTGCTCCACCGGCTCCTCCTTGGGACCCGAGCAGCACACCGCCATGCTCTTGCAACTCACACATGAACTGGAGGGCTGGAAGGACTCCTGAGGGCCATCTAGTCCAACCCCCGGCAACACAGGAACCACATCGAATGCCTATCAACGAAAGACCACAACTGAGTTGAGAAGGCAAGCAGGAGCACAAAGAGAGCCAAGATCCATCATTCTGGGCTTGGACAAGCCATGCACTGACACAGGGCGACTCAAGGGAACTCAAACATGCATGAATGGGCACCCCAGGCAGCCACCGCCTTCTCTTCCACCCCCATCGCTGCCATCAGTGGACCCTGAGTAGCCCAGCAACCAATCAGAACGAAGCACCAGCCGCCTGGAAGTCCCAGTATTGTCTTGAGCCCATGTCAGAGAATCTTCCATGGCAACGAAGGCAGCAGAGAAATCCCCATCTCCATTTACCTGAGAGCAGGGCTGGCCAGGGGGGCCTTTCTGCATGGGCAGGTGGTATCACCCCCCCTCCGGCCCTTGCTTGCCATGCTGGCTGGGGCTGATGGAAGGGAGAGGGCGGTGAGCAGCACTTGCAGGGAATAACTCTCGCCAAACACCCACCCACACCAGGGAGGAATTTATTGGTTCTGAGAGCCAGGATCTCCAGGGGGCTCCTGTGGCCAGTTTGCACCATGCTCTGCTGGCAAAGTAGCTTGAATTTAAGCCCCAGATTCAGAGGAATGGGATCAGCAGTGATCCTCTTTAGAGGAAGAGATTTCAGCTCATGCAGCCTGCGGGTGTCGGTCAGTTGCTCCGAGGTTTCAGACCAGCCTTGAGTTCTGTCTGACCTGGTTGGTGAAAACCACAAGGCCGATCAGCCTGGGGCGGCAGAAGCTGCCAGGACCTATTTAAAAATTAAATGGTACCACTTCTTGCAAAGGAAGCAGGCATGAGACGTCCGCCCAAGCGATCCTGACTGGACTTGCTGCCCTCCTGGATAATTATTAGCCGGTCTTGGTCTTCAGCACTGCCATTTCCTAGCAAATTATCTGAGCAGGTTGTGGCAACTCAACTCTCGGCTTTCTAGAGGATTTGGGATCCAACTTATCCAAAGTCAGACCTGGCTTTGGAAAGGAGTTTTGGATGCTTTTGCTCAGAACTGGACGGTTGGTTCTTCTGGATCTCTCCGTGGCCTTTGACGCCACTGACTCTAGACTGCTCAGGATGCGGACGGGAGGCAGGGCCTTGCGGAGGGTGCCAGCCTTCCTGATGGATGCTTGACCTCTGTCCGCTGCCCTAAAGGACTCCTCCGGGCTCCAATCCATCCTTTCTCCTCTCTGTAGAACACCAGGGAGACATTCTCCAGGGATGCCAGTCAGGGTTCAAAATTAGCCAGGTGCCTTTTGCGACTGGGGACTGTCAGAATGCGAGCACTTCGAGAAGTCTTGGGACTGGGACTCAAGAATAAAATTGCTGCAGCAGAGCTGCTGAGAGCATGGGAGGAGAAAGGCTCCCCCCCCCCCACTCCAGAGCAGGGTGGATTGATTTAAATCAAATTGGTTTAAATCACGATTTAAAGCACTAGTCAGTAAGACTTGATTTAAATCATTTTTTTACAGAAAAACTCATTCTTGCTGGTATAATCTTAATATTTACAACCAGATGAAGGTTTCATTTTTGGAATAATAACATTTCAGAGTAGTTTGTACAGTTATATAAAAAATTGCTGATTTGGTTATACTATTAGAAACACAAAGACAGGTGATTATGAAATTTTTGCTTATATTTGGGCAATTTTTCTGCTGTACTTTATTGGAAGGAGAAAAATAATCATTTCCTTAATAACAATTTAAACAATTTATTTAACTAAAACAATAACATTATAGCATATGTATCCATGTTTGTTAACTGATGTGGTTAAACAATAAAAAAAACTTTAGAGTGAGTTTTAGCACACATGAAAGACTTAAAACAAATCCTTATTTCCCGATGAATAGCCTTTTGACTATAATGTAACTTAAATGGAAAATTATCTTTAGAAAGATTTTTCCTCCAAAAGCATTTTATTTTAAAAATCTGATTTAAATTTTAAAAATCCAATTCAATTTTTTTAAAAAAAAAATATTTATTTATTTATTGGGGAAAATCATTGGTTTTTATCCACCCTGCTCCCGAGTAGGGAGGGTCACTGCTGCATGTGCAGGGAAGTGCTGCTTCCCAGCCGCCGTGCGAGTCACCAGGCTGGAGCTGAGGGTGCAGCAGGAGAAAGGCCTCCCCACCCAACTCCAGAGGAGGATCCCTACTGTACAGCCAAGCGCCGCTTCCCCCACCAAAGAGCGAGTCACCCTTGCAAAAAGAACAACATGGTGACTCGCTTTCTGCTTCTGCGCCCATAACCTGGGTTCCAGGAGCCATTTGGCCATCAGCTTTTCTACCCCAGTTTCTAACACTGATGTCATCAGTACGCAAAGGACTCTCACGCCTCTCCTTCCTCCTTTTCCTTGGATGCCAAGGAAGCAGAAAGAGCTTTCCAAGGGGTCAGTTCTGTCTGGATGGGGCGGCCCTCTCCTTCAAGGCTCCCACAACGGCTTGGCCTGGGGGGAGGCTGCTTCCCCTGTCCCTGTGCTAAGGGATTCCAACAATCAAACATGCCCCTGAACGCTAATTACTATGATGACATTTTGTATAAAATACCTGTAGACTGGCAGTTCTCAAAGCAGTGTTTGAAATTAGCCAGGCGCCAGGCGCATTTTGCACCTGGTTTTTGACTTCTTGCCACCAAGTGAAGATGCCCGGTGCCAGGATGGCGCCTGATGTCTCCACCACCTGGAGGTGTATGCCTGGGGATCCTTGGGTCGCGACTGTTTTCACACACTAACACCCCATCCAGTAGAATGCCATCAGTTATATTTTATCTGCACAACTGGAACGTGAATTGTAGCTCTATATGGGAATTAGGGGTTTACTAACGACTCTCAGCACCCTTATAGATAATAATGTTCCAAAAGAGTTGGTTAACTTATTTATGTATACAGCGACAACCACGCAATATGGCCGAAGGTGGAAAGGAGGAGAGGTGCCAAGAAAGGAAGGTTGGCTTTTGGAAATGATGCAGTATGCAGAACTGGCCAGATTAACAGCAAAGATCAGAGACCAAAATGATGAAAAAAATCCTGAGGACTGGAAACTTTTTACTGAGTATTTAAAGAACTGCTGTAGCGAAATGAAAAAGCGAGCAGGACTTGAAATATGAGCAACAGCATGAATTATTAAGACAAATAGGTTAAATTGGGTGTATTAAATAAGGGAAATGTGCAGCATTCAAGGGTAAATAAGGAAACCATGGAAGAGGAGGACAGGAAGTCAATAGATAAAGTAACTTACGGCTTATGTTAAAATGTGTAAAGTTTTCTTTTCTTTTTTTTTAAGAAAAATTAATAAATAAGATTTAAAAAATACTACAGTTCCCAGGTTCCATTGGGGACAGGACTGTTTAATGTGGTATAATACAGCTTTAGACAGAGCCTCAGAGCAGACCTACCAAAATGAAGAGTTTCTTCATTTCAGTGGGTCTACTCTGAATACAGTCCGTGGTTTTTAATTTAAAACCACTGGCGGAGATGATGCAGGGGCCTGTCCTGTTGAACCACAGGCCCTCTTCACTAAACAGGGCTGTGGGGGCTTCAAGGAGCTGCCCACCTAACTTCCCAAAGAGGGAGAGAAGGAAAGACAGAGGCATGGGGGGCGGGGAGGGATGGGGGGATACAGCTTGGCATCTGCTGGAAGAAGCCACTGGATCTGCCCCCAACACCTCATCCGCCCGCCTGGCAGGCACGGGGAGAGGAGGCTCAGTCTGAAGAAGCCGGAAAAGATTGCTGGGAGGTTCCTGACTCTCAGAAACAGGATCTCCAAAACTGTTTCCCTTGAAGACTCACTTCTGCCTGCTTGTCTGCTCAGACAGTCCATTTCTGCAAAAGGCATCCGAGGGAACTTCTGCAGCCCTTTAAGTCAGGGCAAAGAGCAAAGGGGGAAGAGGCTGTGCAAATGCTCAGAAAGACCAGGGCTGCCTAAACACGGTCACTGCACTTGGGAGCAAACTCCCCTGAATTAAGTGGGCACTACAACTGCACTGCACAATGCTCGGAGCTGGGGCAGACTCTCTCCAAGTCTACACAAGCGCCACAACCTGAAGATGAACCGTGAAAAATGTGTGTCAAATCTTTTCAAAGGGAAAGAAGTGAAGCCAAGCCGGGAAGCCTCTTCTGCAGTGTCCCAAGACTCACTGTAATAAAACGTCATCTCACAAGTATTTTTTTCATTTCTTAAAATAATCATAGTCTGCCGTTTCTGAGCGTGGGAAAAGGGAACAAGGGGAGCAGGGAGTCAGAGGAGGGGGTTCCCAGAGGGCACAGCCAAGCAACAGCCCCCTCCACCCACCCACCACAAAGCCCACCTGCTTCTGACTTTGGCAGGAGCACAGGAAGGGGGCAGAGTGGGCAGGAAAAAGTGTCACACACTTGGGAAATCTCTTGGCAAACTGCTGATCTCCCCCCCCCCCACCTTAAAAAAACCCTGTAGCAGGTTCCATGGATGGAGACCTGCAGCCAGTCTCGTTCTTGTCCAGTTCTTGTCCAGCCTCATCGCAGCCCTTCAAGGCAAAGAGCAGATTCCAGCAGGGAGAGGGAAGCTCTGCTGCCTGAAAACATTCACCCTCCTCACCCCCCCCCTTGCAATCCGAGGCGTAAACAATGACTGCTACCAAATATGGAATTTGTAGCCGGCCAGCCACAGAGGCAGGAGCCCCACAGGCTTCCAGCCTCCTCCAGGCAGCCGATGCAGAGGACCACGGAAAGAGGGCCCCCCATGCCAGTGACTCAGTGCAAAACCTGCCCTGAAGAGGCGGCACGTGGTGCAAAAGCAGGACCCCAAGCGGGAGAGACCCCCATTCTCAAGGGGGCTTCACAGGCACAAATCGATTTTCTATGGCAGACATTGCACCAATATCGGCATTTCCACACACAACACCCTCAGGCACTTCTGCTCCCTGCCAGGCCCACAACAATCTCTGCTGTCTGAAGGTCGCCCCCCCAGGCCACAGGTCTCTCCCCCTGCCCCAGAAACACAAAACGTCCTGGGTCCTCATCCTTCACAGGCTGGGTGCATTCCTGGGCTTGTGAGGGGCGCAGCCCAGGGGCCATGATTCTGCCCTACACACCGGCCACCGTGGGTCCCTTTCCAGCTGCCCCTTTAGACCTCGCCATCAGCTGCCACCCACGGTCTCCTGCCACTGAACGCGCAGGTGGTGCCAGGCCAGCCTGCTCTGAAGCAGAAGCCCAGAAGGTCCTCACCACATGAGGGCCGAGCCCAGCCAAGGAGCAAGGGCCCCAGGGCTCGGGGGACCCCTCTGTGCCCACCCAGCCCCAACCTGCCTCAGGGTCTCCATGGGGCAAGCTCAGGGGCGAGAGAGACAGAGAGCCCTATTCTCTGCAGCCAGGCTGGCCTTTAAGTGGAGCAGGGAAGGGGGGCGGCGTCTGCCTGCATCTTACACCCCACGGGGCCTCCGCCTCTGGGTACAATCGCCACCTTGTTCTGGGATCAGGGCACCAGCCAGCCTGCGCAGGACACATGTCACAAACAGCTTAGGGGATCAGCAGGCTCCGCTCTGGAGGGAGCAAGGAGGGCACAGAGCCCAGGTGGGGAGGGGGACAACGGGAAGCCAGGCTGCGGAGTGGATCAGGTGGGCAGCTGCGAGGGTCCCTGCAAAGGGAGGCCGCTGCAGCTTCTGAGCTCCCCAAAGACAAAAACGGAGACAAAAACCGCACTACAAATGAGGAAATGATTAATTTAGCAACTAGCATCAGGCAGAGAGCAGGCCGGAAAAACAGAGGGGCTTCAACACAGAGCAAGGAACAAACAGCTAAAACTTTACTCCAGTAAGAAAGGAGCAAACGGGAGCCAACTTTTAATCTGTTTCCCTGCGCTAAAGAAAGATGGCAAACTGCTGGTGGCTGTTCTTCCGTTGGGAGGGAGCTTTTTGGGGCTGGGGGAGCTCTGATTTCCCCTGCCCGGGTACTTTTTAGCTCGTCGTGGCTCAGAGCGAGGGGCTACTAAGAGTGAGTGGAAACGGCTCCGGCAGCTGAGTGCGGATCTCTGAACGCGCAGGGAACAAATAGGGGCAGAAAGTTCGGCCTGCAGGCTAGAGCAACAGAAGGACTTCCACGTCTGTCCGGAATGCCAGGAAGACGCCCCACCCCCAGGAAAAGGAGGGCAGCTCTGCCCTGGAAGCGCCGGCCAAGGGTCGCCAAGGTGGGACCCGCGAGTCGGGGCGACTAAGCCTAAGGGGAGAGCCTTGCAGAAGCGCCTGCAAAGCGTCAGGGAAGCAGCGCCGTCGGAGGAAAGGCGGGAGCAGGACTGGCCGCGGCACTTCGCCAAGCCACGCGCTCCGCCTCCGCGCTCCCGTTTCGCGCGCAGCCCGCCGAAGGCAAAAGCCCGACAGGCAGCGGGGCCTCGACGGCGGCGTGGCGAGCGAAGGGCCGGCAGATCGGGAAGCGGCGTCCGCCGGAGACTCTGCAGGGCAGCAGCCTGCCGCTCGCCGGGGCGGAACCCGGCCGGGCCTGATCCACTTCCTGCCCAAGGGGCGCCCTCCAGGGCCGCGCCCAAGCCCAGGCGCCCCGCGGCAGCAAGCGGCGCCCGTCCGCTTCCCTAGCGAGGGAGCCCCGACGAGGTGGTCGCCGCCGCCGCCGCCGCCGGGATGGGAGGTTTGCGCACATCTGGAAGTCACGTGCAAGCAGCCGGGACCGGCCCGAGCAGGAGGAAGCCGAGACCCTCCTGGAGGCGGTCTTCGCCCGCCCCGTCCCGCTCGGAGCCGCGCCCCGCGCCCCCCCTCGCGGCGGGGCCGGGGCCCTCCGCCAAGGAACGGCCCGTGCCCCGCGGGGCAGAGACCCTTCCTCCCCGCCGGAGAGCTCTTCCCGAGGGCGGCGGAGCCCGCCTGGGCCCGGCCCCGAGGCTACGGGAAAGCCGTCGGGGCAGGAAGCCAGGAGGGTGGGACCTGCCCTGCGCCAGCCGCGCTGCGCCCAGAGGCGGCCGGGGTGCGCCTGGCACGCGAGCGGGAGGCGGCTGCCGGGGAGGCACGGAGGCACCCGCGGGCCGAGGGAGGAGTCGCGCGGAGCGGGAAGGGACCCGCCGGCGGAGCCAGACCCGACGGAGCCCGGACGCGGACGCCGCCCCGTCGCCGCCGCCGCTCGACTTCTCCTTTTTCCTTCCCTCCCTCCCCGCCCGCCGGGGGGGCGCCTGCTCCTCCTCGACCCCCAACTCCTGTCCGGATCAAGGGAAAGAGAGTGAGGCGGGGGGCGCCTTCCTACCTGGGGGGACGCGGCGGCGGCGGCGGCGGCGGCTCCTGCGGGGCGCGACTGGCTTCTGGGGGGAGGAGCGCCGAGGGGCGGGAGCGCGCCCTCCCCTCCTCCTCCGGGTCCCCCAGACCCGCCCCCCGGCCGAGGGACAAGCGCCGCCCGCCCCGTCTGCCCGCGGCGCAGGCGCAGAGCCGAGAGGAAGCCGCCGCGGCCATGTTGGGTGCGGGCGCCGGGCTCTTTCCCCGGCGGCGCGGGGTGGCGGCGCCCTCGGCCAATCAGCTGGCGCGACGAAGCCTCGCGGGGCCGCCCCGCCGCAGTGCGCTGAGCAGAGGCTGAGCAGGCTCTCGCCGGGCGCCGGAACAGCAGCGGACTCCGAGGGTCTGGCTTCGTCTTTGGGAGCCCAGAGCAGCGCGTGGGAAGGCTCGGACTTGGTGCGGGGGGAAAGCCCCTCTCAGCTGAGGACAGGGCGAAATTCAGCAAACAAACGCCATTGCCTGTCCCTCTGGACAGAGGTGCTTACAAGCCGAATGTCAGTGTACAGGGAAAAGCAAGAATCACCAGTATCGAAGCAGTTGTTCTTCGGCATCAACTTCGTTGGACTGGTCATGTTGTGCGGATGCCTGATTCTCGTCTTCCAAAGCAACTACAGTTCTACCTCTGGATGCGAACGGCATCCGTTCCGGAGCCCCATTCACATCCTAAAGCGAATGCAACCTGCGTCTGCAGGGGTCGTAATTTGCCGCTTCCGTGCATGCGTGTGACGTCATTTTGAGCGTCTGCGCATGCGTGAGCGGTGAAACCCGGAAGTAACGCGCTCCATTACTTCTGGGTCGCCGCGGAGCACAACCCGAAAATGCTCAACCCGAGGTATGACTGTACTCTAATCCCAACTCAAGAATGGAAAGCGAAATACTGGTGGGAAGCAAAAGGTTTAAAGATGCTCTCAAGGCAAATCTTTAAACATGTAGTATAAACACTGACAGTTGGGAAACACTGGCCTATGAGCGCACCAATTGAGATGTCATGGACTTTGAAGATGCTCGAACTCAGGACGCAAGGGAGAAACGTGCTGAAAGGCACGCTTGACAAACCCTCACCGTGATCAACTCTTACCTGGAAACCTATGTCCCCACTGTGGAAGGATGCATGGATCCAGAATTGGCCTCCACAGTCACTTACGGACTCACAGCTAAGACCGTGTTCACGGAAGACAATCTTACTCGGCTAGGAGGAATCACCAAAGAAAGGAAGAAGCAGCTTACAAGCCTCAAGACCTGAAGGGCCGCCTCTCCCCCTAGGAAGGGACCCAGGCTCTGCCATCCTCCTCCTTCTTCGAGAGGATCAGAGAAGGCAACACCAGAGCAGGCCTTTTCTGCAGTGGCTCTCCATTTGGGGGAATGCTCTCCCTAAGGAGGTTCAGCTGGTGCCTTCATGATCCATATTTAGGAGCCAGGCCTTTGAGTGTTTAACATTAAATGGGCACTGTGGGTCAAACCACAGAGCCTAGGACTTGCCGATCAGAAGGTCGGTGGTTCGAATCCCCGCGATGGGGTGAACTCCCGTTGCTCGGTCCCTGCTCCTGCCAACCTAGCAGTTCGAAAGCACGTCAAAGTGCAAGTAGATAAATAGGTACCGCTCCGGCGGGAAGGTAAACGGGGTTTCTGTGCGCTGCTCTGGTTCGCCAGAAGCAGCTTAGTCCTGCTGGCCACATGACCCGGAAGCTGTACGCGGCCAGTAAAGCGAGATAAGCGCCGCAACCCCAGAGTTGGCCACGACTGGCCCTAACAGTCAGGGGTCCCTTTACCTTTACCCCTGTCGAGAAGGCCTTCTGTCTGGTCAACGACCCAGTTAAAAAGCTGGACTGTTCTTTTCTTCCTGCAACTTACCAATTTCTGATCCCCAAGAGAATTTCTCTTCCTATTCCTTGGCTGCTAAATTTACCCAGGAGTCTTTGGTGAGGGATTTTGTCAAAAGCTTTTTGAAAGTCCAAGGACCCAATGTCAACTGGATCACCTCTACATGGATGCTTGTTAAAGAACTTCTTCTTGTTGGTCTTGATGCTTTTAGCAACATTCTCCCCAAAATATTTTCCTTAAAGCACCCTTTACTGTCCGCTTGCCCTTTTTTGGCCAGAGTTTTGTGTTCTTTTTCTGCTCTATTCATTTGAACAACAGTTCCAATTTTTTAAGGGAAGCTTTCTTGCCTCTCATAGTTTCTTTGACTGGTCTTTGTGGTTTGTTCCCTGATCGGTGGTACACACTCCTCTTGAGTTTCTAATCCTGTGTTTAAAAAAAAACAACACTCCCAGGCATTTTGGAGTGATTTGACCCTCTTGACTTCACCTTTCAACTTCCTTTTTACCAGCTTCCTCATTCTGGGGAATTTTCCTTTTTGAAATCAAATGTGACTGCGTTGGAGTTTCTTGGCAACTGACCATTTACATGTAGATTTAATTTAACAGTGGTATGATCACTTCTTCAACAGCAAATATTCCCACTTCTGCAAACATTTCTGGCACCTGTATTGGCTGGTTTCAGAGGCAATGGAATAGGCTGATATTCCTTACCCTAATGCAACACAGTTAGACTTGTTCACACTGGAACAAAAGGCATCTCTCTATTTTTGTAACATCTTTTGGAGACAGGCCAGATCTGCATACCAGACACTGCTATTACCCACTCCCTATCTTGCAACAAGATGCTCATGTCTCCTTATAAAAATAAAACATTAAATTGACCTGAGTTAACCAATCCACCTTTGTAGATTAGTTATATATTTAAAGCATATACTATGTTTAACATTGAAACTTTTAGTATGCTCACATGTGAGCCACACACTTCCTTATGTCATTTTTGATAATATGTCTAAAAGGTAAAGGTACCCCTGACCATTAGGTCCAGTCATGGACGACTCCGGGGTTGCAGCACTCATCTCAAGCCGGCGTTTGTCCACAGACAGCTTCTGGGTCATGTGGCCAGCATGACGAAGCCACTTCTGGTGAACCAGAGCAGCGCATGGAAATGCCGTTTACCTTCCTGCCAGAGCAGTACCTATTTATCTACTTACACTTGACATGCTTTCAAACTGCTAGGTTGGCAGGAGCAGGGACTGAACAATTGGAGCTCACCCCATCGTGGGGATTCAAACCGCCAACCTTCTGATCGGTAAGCCCAAGGCTCAGTGGTTTAGATCACTGTGCCACCCGTGTCTGCATAACATCTATCCAGATGTTGGCATCTGTCCGTCTCAGGAGACAATGGAGGAGAAAGGCGCCTTTGGGGATGAAGTCAAACTGGGTGAAGGTTACAGCTCCTGCTGTGGTTGTAGACACCCATGTGGGAGAGACATGTTTTCATGTAGCTGGGGCAGAGGAAGGCGTCTGGTTGTGCTAATGCAGATGCACCGCTGCATTTATTATTCTAGGAGTGCAGAGAGAAGAATTCATTATTTATATTCTTCCCATCTGACTGGCTAACTCCCCTCCAATGTAAAGGCCACTAGGCAGTAGAGATCTTGCCCACCCCCCCCCCAATTATATTCTACTACGTTTTTGTAATTTCCTTTCAAGATCAAATCAGTATTATTTTGACCTGTGGTTGTGGGGCCCCTACTTCAGGCTTCTTCAGCCTTGGCCCTCCAGATGTTTTTGGCCTACAACTCCCATGATCCCTAGCTAGCAGAGGTCAAGGATGGTGGGAATTGTAGTCTCAAAACGTCTGGAGGGCCGAGATTGAGGAAGCCTGGCCTACTTAGTAATCTGGCTCTGCTCCCACAGCTGTCACAGAGGAAACTCGGGTGAAAAACTGAACTGTCAGGCTCCGTTTCTGCTGCATAGAAATCAGGCTTCAATTCGTCCCCCCAAGCAAAACAAAGTTGTCACACTCCAGCTTGGCTCAGCATCAACCCATCTCACACCTAGTCCCGGGGGCCACGCAATGTGAAGTCCAGTGTGGCCCCCTTTCTGCCCTGTTCTAGGGCCCAGTCCTTTCGGGGATTCACTTCGCGCCCGTGGGCATTGGGACAAGCGGGGCTGCCAAGGCCCAGGCGGCGGTGCAGACACAGCCGGGCTTTCGGAGCTCCCGGTTCCGTTTGCTGCGGGGATTTCTGGATCAAGCTGCTGAGCCCCTTCCCTGGCAGAATGCCTCTCCCAGAGCCGTCCAGGAAACACCGCTTTCAGATGCAGACCCCTCGAAATCCCTGCGCCACACGAGAAGCTGCCGGAGTCAAGCCTCGCGGGTCCATCTCGCTCTGCCGTGTCCCCCACACGGGCCGGCAGCAGCTCTCTGTCCTTTCTGGTTGGGGACCTGGCCAGCCCGCCTTCCGTCTGCTGAGCAGAGCCTCTGCCTCGGAGCGGCGACCCTTATTTTATTTTATTTTTTCTATACCGCTTTATATTTTTCAGAAAAATCTCAAAGCAGTTTACAGCATATTACATCAATAAAACATCAATAAAAGAAAGTCAAATATAGAGTATACAGTCAAAGCAACATAACAGAAAACTCAACTATTATCGCACAGCTTTTCCAATCCAACCTTACAAAGGTCAGCTCCAGAATACCTCTTCCTTCCCGGGCGGAGCTGGAGCCAGGGAGGTCCCTCTGACGACAGATCCAAGCCCCGCCCCCCAGGCCGGCCGGCCGAAGGGGGTTTCCCGGCCGCGAGCGACACTCGCCTCGGTCAATGCGGCCCCGGCCTCTCCGCCGCTTCGCCAATCAGTGCGCGGGGAGGGCGGGCCTCGGCCAGTTCCGGCCCTCGAGTGACGTCGCTTTTGCTGCGTTGGAAGGAGAGCGGAGGAGACGGAGCGGAGGCGCCGCGGGCCGCGCAGGTGGGTGGGGTCCCGTCGGGGTCCCGTCGGGTCCCGGGGCTTCCCTTCTCCCCCTCCCCAGCAGATCTGCCCCGGGACCCCTCCCGCCCGGTCCTTTCTCTCCGGGGGACCCAGGAGTCCGGCGCCGCCCCGCCCCTCTCTCGGGGGCCCCGACGGCGCGCCCCAGCCTCGGCCTCGACGGGGCGGCGGCTGCCTCCGCCCCCACTGCCCGGCCAAGGCGCGGATCGGGTGGCGGGGCCTCCTGTTCCCGAGGGGGAGGGCAGCCTCGGCTCGAAACCCCACGTCCCGGGGCAGCCAAGCCCGGAGGGGTGACCTGCCGGAGCCCACCCCCGTCGGGCAACCTGGTGGTCCTGGGAAGGGAGCGAGCGCCCGGCTGGCCCCTTCGGCCTTTGCGGAATCATAGACGGATAGAAGTGGGCAGTTGGGAGGGACCCCGAGGGGCATCTAGTCCACCCCCTGCAATGCAGGGGTTACAGCTACAGCATCCCTGACAGGTGTCTACGCGACCTCGGATTCAAAGCCTCCAGCCGAAGTGAAGGACGACCCTTTTTGTGGCCCACCCCACCTGCCCAGCGGGGGCTCGGCAGCGAAGCTCCTTCCTTTAGTTCTGGGAGCATCTCCTTGAGGACAGGTAAGCAAAATGGGGGGAGCCCAAAGCCCCCCCCCCAGCTCCTGCTTCTCACCACTGCTCCTCTGCACAGCTGTCTCTGTGGTGGCAGGACGGGGGGGGTGAGAGAGGGAGAGCTCACCCTCCAGATCTCTTGGGCACAGCCTCAGGGGCCCAAGCTGCCTGCATTTGACAATGTTATGGAAATTAATGATGTGCCCTTATAAACATACAGGGATGAGTGCATTTGCAAATACACGTCTCCAGGTGTGCCAACTGGATTTTTTTTGGGGGGGACACACCCAGGTAAGCCCCATCCCACAGAATCGATCACATGACGCAGTGCACGTACCCCATATGAATGGCAATGCCCATTAACTTTGGGGGTGCCTGGCCTCCTAAAAAAAATTATTGGGAGGGGCTGAAGGGACCTCGGCCCCCAGGCGTCACTACTCTGCCCTTGTAGACAAAACACCACGGCCTCTGCCGGCAACTCCAGGTAATGCAATAGGAGCTGTTGTGGAAATGGACTTTGCAACATAACTTGGTGAAATATCACTTTTACCAGTAACACCTCAGGTGGAGTAGTACAGAGAGCAATACGGCAGCCGAGTTTCACCTTCGTCAGTCCCAAAGCAGGAAATGGTTCCTGAGCCTCCTCTCTCTGTAAAACTGGTTTTAGAGGTATTGATAACTCTGCATGATGTGTGAAAACAGGTTCTGGAGTCAAGGTATTTCAAAAGAATGGCTTAGGCTAGCCAGCAAACGGGAATCAGTAAATGTTTCCAGGTATGTTGACAGACAGGAGACAAGCTACACTCAAATTTCTCTTTCTGTGATGCTTGTAGGATTCTTTTAGTGGGTTTTGGTTAAGGGGTTGAGGAAAGCTTTTAAAAGCTGTTATTCACCTTTGTTCTGGGTCGTCTTCACCTCCTTGTAAAGTGGGGGGGCTCTGTTGCAATAGAAAAATAAAAATCTGCCTGCTTAGACTGGGTCCTGCCTCCAGTCCTCCTTCTCTGACCATTCATGGACATTGGGGACTCTCTTAATGGGCAGCTGGACTGCGAAAGCTAACCTCAATTTTTCATGTAACAATGGCCGTTGCCCATTGGTGGAATTGGCACTACGTGATACCCATTCTGCTTTCCTCAGCACTCAATCATTTAGTGTGGCAGCATCTACACCCTGGAACTCCCTGCCTATTGATATCCGGCAGGTGCCTTGTAGTCTTTTTGGAGCCTGCTAAAAACATTCTTCTTTTGACAAGCCTACCCTGAAAATGCTTAGAAAGTTGATGTGAATTTTAATCAGTTTTAATATTTAATATAAAGTGCTCTTGTAATTTTTTTTTTATTTTCTTGTTTTATCTTTTTGTAAAGCTGAGGGTGAGTTTTTTTGAACAAGTGGAGTACATGCTCAAATAAATAGTCAGTTTTCCTTGGGGGCTCCTGGCCCTGCTGCCTGACCCTGACACCCTCCGTCTCCCTCCCTCCCTCCAGATGTTGTGCCCAGAGGAAATGGCTTCTCTGGCAGATGAGGACCTCCTTGACTTCCTCCTCCAGGATGGAGGTCCCTCAGCTGATCTGGGCAAGGGAGGCTTCCTGCCAGAAGACTGGGACTTTCCAGGGCCCGAGGTGAGTGCCAGCTGCCTTGGGCAAGCCAGGGGTGGGGTTGCTGCTGCTCCAGCTCCCCCCCCCCTTGCCTCACGACCTCCTTTCCCTCCAGGCCTTGGGCGAGGAGGAGGTGGACGACTTTCTGAGGTGCCTCCTGAGCCCTTTTGCAGAAGAGTCCAGCGGCTCGCCGGACCCCTCCCCTCCTCACAGCAGCAGCAGCAGCCTTGCCGAAGAGCAGAACTTCTCCTGCAGCCCTGCAAGCTGGGAGGGGTCCCCCACTGGCAGCCCCGCCGGCTCCGAAAGTGTCCAGTCCGACCACAACTACTCCCTGCACCCGACGCTGCCTGGGCCCCCCATAGGTCCTGCGCTGGAGAACGTCAGCTCCTCCTCGGATGTGGGCGACGGGGATGTCGCCATTGACCTGGGTGAGTGCCCAGGGCATCTGGGGTGGGGGGTCCATGCAATGTCCCTTGGGGCAGGCGCTGAGCTGGGCCAGAGCAGGCAGGCGCTGAGCTTTCCCCTGTGCTTGCTGACGTGGTGCTGCAGAACCTCTCTCTCTCCTTCCCTCCCTCCATCTCTCTCTCTCTCTCTCTCTCTGTCTCTGCATCTGCTGAGTAGCTTCTTTAGGACCAGGAAGGAGAGAGTAGGAAGAAATGGACAGTTCCCCCAGCAGAGGGAATCAAGGGGTATCTGGACTGGGACCAGTGCATAAATAATAATAGTGGTAGTAGTAATAGTAGTAGTAGTAATAATTATAATAATAATAATAAATCTATTTATTTATTTATACCTTGCCCATCTGTCTGGGTTTCCCCAGCCACTTGGATCAGCTTCCAAAAAAAGATTAAAAATACATTAAAACATCCGTCATTAAAAACTTCCCTAAGCAGGGCTGCCTTCAGATGTCTTCTAAAAGTCTGGTAGTTGTTTATTTGCTTCCTGGTGGGAGGGCATTCCACAAGGCGGGCGCCACTACCGAGAAGGCCCTCTGCCTGGTTCCCTGTAACCTCACTTCTCACAGGGAGGGAAGCACCAGAAGGCCCTCGGGAGATGGACCCCGGTGTCCGGGGTGGAGACGCTCCTTCCGGTCTACTGGGTCGAAGCCTCCAGAGCAGGAGAAAACAAGCTGGCTCCATCTTTGATTTGTCACTCCTGCTTGGGAGCTTCCCTGGGGCAGGAGGAGGATGCTGGACAAGGGGGCCCGCTGCCCTGGTCTGACTCGCGGCTGGTCACTCTCTCTGCCCCCCCATCTCTCAACCCCCACCCCCCCCCGTAGGGAGCTGCCATCGCCCTGAGCAGGGTCTGGTGGGCTAGAGAGCTGTTCCCTTTGGGATGCCTTGGAAGGCGAGAGGCAGCGGTTGTGCTTGTTGTTTGCACAAGTGGCCAATTAGCCCCCACTTCCTCACATGCGCCGAGCGCCCTCCTCAGTGAGCAGGTGAACAGTAATGGACGCACAGAGAATGCAAGCGGTGAGGGAATGAAATGCAAAAAGCAAGAGATTGCCCCGTGGTGAAACCGTTTCTGTGACCTCATTCACAAAGGAGCGTTGGCAGTGCTGATTTTGGGCCCGATCCGTTTGGGGCCAGGAGCAGCCTCTTTCTTGGCTGGCGCGTGGGATTGGGGTGGAGCCACGAGCGCTGCCATGTTCTCATGACATCCTTGCACCGCCCGGGGCAAAGTGTGCCAAGGAAGGAGAGCAGAGGGGTGTGTGTCCCCCCCGGCAAGCCTGGGCCCTCTGGCCTTGTGGCCCCTTCCACCCCTGACTGTGCGGCCCCCTTTCCTCTTCCAGAGATGTGGGAGATCATGGAGACTTCGTCAGAGTCCTGCTTCAGCGATCGGGACAGTGCTCTTCCAGTCACAGTTTCCATTGAGGAACCGACAGCCCAGCCAAGTGGGGGGGACCTGCAGGTACAAGACGGCCGTGTGCCCCCCTCCGCCCCCAATATGCTTGGCTCTCGGGGGAGGCTCCCACAGGGGCTTCCCTTCTCCTGCCTCTTGGGGGGTGCAGCCTGGCAGACCCCCACCCAGCCCTACCTCTGAATGTGGTGCTTTTTCAGTTTGACTTCCCTCAGCTGATTCTGACGGATGAGGAGAAGAAGCTTCTGGAGAAAGAGGGCGTCTCGATCCCTTCCAACCTGCCGCTGACCAAGGTGGGTGCCACAAACTCTGCACGTGTGCGTGCGCACCCTTGCCCTGAGGTGCGCTTCTGGGCACGGTGGGCAGAGGCAAGCGGGAAATGGGGGTGCAATTCCTGGCTGCAATTCCTGCTTCTCCCGGGGGGGGGGCTTTCTGGATGGGCTCTCTGTTTTTCTCTGGTGAGGTCTAGGTGCTTGATTCCAGAGTAAAGGAGGGCCCTTCCTACCAGGGGGTGGTGCTTTTATAGCCAGCCTCCTGTACTTCCCGGGGTGAATGCCCCTTGGGGTTTTTTGGGGGGCACATCCTCTTTGCTCCTGGGTGAACTGGAGGAGGGTTGTTGGCTGCCAGCCTGGCCCTGGCTGACCCTCAGAGCCCTGTGCCCTGCAGGCCGAGGAGCGGGTTCTGAAGAGAGTTCGCCGGAAGATCCGGAACAAGCAGTCAGCCCAGGACAGCCGCCGGCGGAAGAAGGTCTACATGGACAGCCTGGAGAGCAGGTGAGGAATCAGAATGGGGGAGTTGGAAGGGACCCCAGGGGGTCTGTGGCGGGCATGGCGGCACTTTTCCTCTCACGCCGTTGAGCCCGCTGTCACCTAGATAAATTGCCCCCACCTCACTGAACAACCCTTTACCCGAAAGTTTCTTTTCCTTTCTGCTTAAAAATTCTAGCCCAGAGTATCCTGCGGGGGACCTTTGTGAGGGGATAACTAGAAAGTTGGAGTCTCAGACAGGTTTTCTTTAAATAAACAATTAAGCTTTATTTAAGGCAAGATAGTATATAGCACATATGGATTAAACTTAGGTTACTTCCAGAATACAGTGCGATTTCACTTTATTTCGTCCTCAGTTGTTTTTGCGTTATAGGTTTGGTTCTTTCTTTCAGTTCTCCACCCCCTTTACCACTCCTGAGGCACTTTAGGAAATAGACCCAAGGGCTCTCCACCCCCCTCCCTTCACTGGGCTTGGGAGTTGCTTCTTCTCCTTAGAAGAATCTCTCCCCTCCGGACTAGATTGGAGTCCCAAGGAGGCTGTTCCTTTCCAGCTCCTTCTTCTCCTTGCTCAACATCGGCCTCCCTGTAAAATTCCGGTCTACTCCTCCCCCAGGAGTCCACACTCTGTCCTTCCCAATACACTCAGAGCGGAAGTTGTTTTTCCCCAGAACCAGCTCTTTCTCCCTTTCGCTCTTTCTCCCTCAACCTGCCTCCCTACCTGTCTCCCAGCCTCTCCAACCTCTTTCCAACCAACTCCCAACTAACTATCCTCAAATCCTCTCCTTTTAAACTCTCCCTCCTGGAACCTCAGCCAACCAGAGGCAGCCTTAACTATTTGCTTCCTTAACCATTTGCTGGTAGGGAAAGAAAGAAAGAAAGAAAGAAGGGGGGAGCAGAGAGAAACACTTGTTGATTCAACCTGTCCAGCAAAACCAACTTTTTTGTCACAGGGTCATGTAGCCCAGCCCCCTGCCATGCCAAAATCGCAGTGCCAGAGTCCCTGATAGGTGGCCATCTGACTGACTGGTGCTTCTAAACCTTCACTGAAGGAGCATCCACCACCTCCCAAGGGAGTCCAGGGGGGAAGTGGGGGGGCAGAGGCCTCTTGGGCATGGGGGGAGGGAGGGAGAGAGGATGGACACCCCGGGGAGGCAGGCAGAGCAGAGGGGAGGGTTTCCTCAGCACTGAGAGGGGGCTTTGCAGACCCAGGTGTGCTTCCCTGCCTTCCTGCCTTGGGGCTCCTCTGCCCCCCTGCCCCTGCACCTCCATGGCCCCATCTGAGACCCAGGCTGCCAGGCCCCTCCTGACCCTCTTCCTCTCCTGTCCCTCCCTGCAGGGTCGTCGTCTGTACAGCGCAGAACAACGAACTTCAGAAGAAAGTCCAGCTGCTGCAGAAGCAGAACATGTGAGCGCCTCCTTTGCCGGGCGGGTCCCTGGGAAGGAGGGTGGGCTCCCCTGGGACCTCACCACCACCTCCTCCCAAGGGGGGCCCTGGGGAGAACGGAGGTGGGGGGTCTTCCAGCCCAAGGCAGAGAGCAAGGGGGCAGCCCCAGTGGCGGTTCCTCCTTCGCTGACCTCCTGCCGCTGACACACGGCTTTGGGTTTTGTCATCTTGCTGTGCTGTGCCCACTGTGACAGCCCTGTGGAGGGAGGTGGGCCACTCCTGCTCCCATTTCATGGGTGGGGGCGTTGAGGCCGAGAGGATGGCTGTCCCCAGGCTCCATAGGGCAGGGCAGAAACCCGCCCCTCCAGACCCCGCATCCTCAGTCAGGTCCCCTGGTCATGTTGGACCCTTTCTGGGAGGTGCGTCTGGCTGCAGAGGAGAGCGGGGGCTCGGGGGCAGCGGGAGGCTGACCGGCTGCTCTGCCTCTCCTGCAGGTCCTTGCTGGAGCAACTGCGGAAGCTGCAAGCCCTGATCCAGCACTCGACCACCAAGACCACCACGGCCAGCACCTGTGTCCTGGTGAGTTGCAGGACCCCTGCAGCCCCTTGGCTCAGCAATCCACCCCAGCCTGCTGGCCCCCCTTCTTGGCCAGAGGGGCTCTGCCTTGTTCCTGGGGGGAGAGGCATCTTCTGTCTGTCACTGGTGCCTCTGACTTCCAGCATTGAGGACTCCTGACTTCTGTGAGGTCCTGGTCCTCCTCCTCCTCGCACCCCTTCCAGCCCCCCCAGGTGCTCTGCTCTCCTGAGCTGCCCCCAGGCTGCCTGCTGCCTGCCTTTGCAGCCCTTGCTGAGGGATCCCTGCCCTGGGCTCCCTCTCCTGGGGGGTTGGACTAGAAGACCCTTTGGGGCCCCTCCAATGCCACAATTCTCTGTTTCCGCGATAGGTCCTGGTCTTCTCCTTCTGCCTGATCCTCTGGCCCAGCTACTACCCCTTTGGAGGAAGCCAGCAGAAGCAGCTGGAGCTCCAGGGAGGTGAGTGTCCTCAAAGGGTGCCAAGGCGGCTCTTGCAAAAGCCACACGCTGCTGGGGAGGGGGTCGGGTGCAAGTTGGAAGGACATGGGGGCCCCCTTGCCTGGAAATGGACAGGCTGGCTCAACAGCCCCTGAACCCCACCTTCTTAATCCGGACAGAAAGCATCTTGGGCAAAGTTTTTCCTGGGATCTCCCCCCCCCCCGCCCCCCCAGCTGAACAGAGCAGCTCCCAGGGCACAGTGGCTTGTTGTCCTGAGACCCTCCGTTTGGCCTTTCCCTGAGGCATCACGCAGGGTCCGGCCCTTGCAGGAGGCAGCCCAGAAGTCCTTGCCACGCATTTCACAGGTCTAGCGCCTTCAGAAAATGTGGGGAAGAGGAAGAACCTTGATTCTGGAGTGAGCAGAGGGGTGGCGGGGAGGGGGGACTCTGTGGCAGCAGATAATGCAGTCAAGATCAGCCAGATCTCAGCTTGTTTTCTCTGACTGATAGTGGGCCTTGAATGGGAGCTGGGCTGTAAAAGCTTTCTGTGTGTGTGTGTGTGTGTGTGTGTGTGTGTGTGTGTGTGTCTGTGTGTGTGTGTGTGTGTGTGTGTGTGAGAGAGAGAGAGAGAGAGAGAGAGAAAGAAAGGGAGAGAGAGAGCGAAGTTCTGGGTTCTGCAGCTCAGGAGTAGCCACACTGACACTCAACATCTTCTTGAGTGGGAAAGAGGAAGGTCCAGCCTTGTTGCATTTAATTTCGGAAGAGAGAACTCCTCCAAGGAAGATGACCTGGAAGGGAGGGCCAGGAAAAGCCCTGCAGCTGGATCAGGCCCACAGCATGCCTTGCTCTCTTGGGAGCCAGCCATGTCCCAGGGACACCCCCAAGCTGAATGCCAGCTTAGGAGGTTTAGCGGTTAGCATAACAGAGGCTTGGTTGAGTCGTATGCTAGAGAGAGTGAGGGGATGCCAGCAGGACTGAACCGCAGAGTCAAGGCCAGACGGGGGCTCCTCACCCCCCGCTTATATTTTTTTTAAAAAAATAATATTTATTACTTTTAAACCTTACAAAAAGGAGAAAATAAAAGAAGAAAGAAAAGGAAAGGAAAAGCAAAAAAAACACAAAACAAAACAATACAATACAGTACAATATATAATCAATACACAACACAACATTAACATTAACACATTAAACAAAACAAGAGCAAAAACAATTCAAAAAACACACATCATACCATCTCAATATCCTCTCTTTCATTCCCTTGTTTCATCGACCTCCTTTCACCTCCCTTTTTGTATTTCATTTCTATTAATTATTTCAGCAAATCCTTTCCATCTTTCTCTATTTTCTGTCATGTGATTATCTTAACATATTTTAACCTTATTTTCCATTAATACTATAATACTTATTTATGCTTAATTCCTTAAAACATTTCTACTAAAGCCATATAATTCCCTCCCAACATTTTTCTAACACTCATTAATTTTACATTATTTCCATATATAGATTTTAAACTTTTTCCAATATTCTTCCACCGTCTCTTCTCCCTGGTCTCGGATTCTGCCAGTCATTTCCGTCAATTCCATATAGTCCATCAACCTGGTGATCTTCTGTCCGAGGCTCTTAACTCTTTTCCAAGTCCCTTCTGCAAGTCTTCTTCATATTTATACATGCACTTTACTTTGTCTTCTCCTGATCTTGTTCTTATTTTCCTTCCTTTGATGCTGAAAAGTGGATCTCGGGGAAATCCCATCTAGCAATGTTTTTATTCCTTCTCGACAAGTCAGCCAAATCTCCATAGTTAAAACTGAAATTCAAAAGATATTTCCAGTCGTATTTCAAAGTTCCTCCAAGTCTGGCGGTCCCCACAACTCCAGTCTCCTCCTGACCCAAGTCCAGGTCCCAAAGGTCAATAAATCCCTGCATGAAGGGATCTATCCAACTTTCCTTCTCCAGTCCAAGCGGGGCTCCAATCCTCAAAGTCTGACTTTCTCTAAATTCAGTCTTAAAAGGCATCAACTTATAATCATCAAATTGCATCTGTAAGGCTGGGGCTCTCTCCCTCTCCACTTGTGCAGCTTTAGGTTCCACAACAACCACTTTCTCCCCCGCCTTCTCCTCAATTTGCCATGTCAAAATAGATCCCTGTATCGATTCCTGAGTAATTTCTGTATTAATATTCACTTTTTGTCCCAAATTAGTCACTTTTTGTTCCAAGTTATCAATTTTTATAGTCCTCGCATCCATCTTCTTATGGAGCTGTTCCAGTGAATCATTAATCTTACATAATGCAACCACTAAGGCTTCTTCTGTCAACATTCTTAACGGTCCAAGGTCAATCCCAGATTCTCACAGTTTTATCTTGCAGGTGGAAATTTCCCAGCTCAGCTCATGTAACAATTTCAAAAGCGTCCTCTAGGGGAAAACAATTTCTATTTGTATCAATCCTTTTAAGCACAGTTCAAACAATAAAGTTAGTTTCAATTTTCAATTACTTTTACTCCTTTTTAAACGCAGAAGGAGACAATGGAAACAATGTATTTCTCTTCTTTAACTTACTGTCAACAAACGATCTATTCACAGTCAATGAGCATATCCAAAACTTCAGTCTTTTTGGCAGCCCGTTTCCAGGTTCAGAGCGGTGGTAATTTAACTTTCTTCACTCTCTCCTGCAGGCTTACGCGATCTAAAATTTCCCCCCTCTTCTCCTGCTTCCAAGGGGGGTTTGATGATTTAGCCGCTGGAAGTTTAATCCTTTATGAAGGGCTTTCCAAGACTTTAGCTTGCAGCCTCTTTGCTTCAGTCTATATACAAAAGGGGAAGGCGGACTTCCTGTTTGAAACCTCCCCGTTTCGGTGCCAAATTAAGACGTTTAAAAATCCAATTTTCCGTTCTACTCACGGGTAGTTGTTTTAAGATCAAATTGTCCACAGGAAAAAGTCAGCGCTCTCCGGCAACAGCAATGCGGCTTCACTCCATGAAAGAAGCAATCAATTCGAAGCACCGCACCACTCACCCCACGTTGCTCCAGATCCCCGAAACCGGGTTTCCCCGCGAGTAGGGGAGGCGCAAAAGGTGCCAGCCGAATCCCACGTTCACAGGCTTCTCCCGCCTGTGATTTTTGGTGGGTCCCCGCCTTCGCCGTGGCGGCCAGACCCTAATTTCCACGAAGCAAATTCCTCCCGATCAGAGGAGTTCAGCCATTACCGGAGGCGCTAACCCGGAAGTCCCTCACCCCCCCCCGCTTATACGCTCCCTTTGCCCTTGCAGTGCTGTCCCGGAGGCTGCGGGAGTACCAGAGCAGCGTTCCCCAGTTCCAGCCAGTGGAAGCAGCCCCTGGCCTTGCCCCACCCTCCGCACTGAAGGCAGAGCCCACGGCCGCCCTGAAGGACGCAGCAGCGGGGAGCCTCAACCGGTCCCTGGAGGGCCACCGCAGCCCCCCCGCCGAGGCCCAGCCGCCCTCCAGCAGCAGCAGCAGCAGCAACTCCTCTTCCGACCCCTCGGCTTCTCCGCAAGCAGAGGGGCTTCCTTTGGCCCCCGAGCACCAGCCTTTGGGGAAGGAGAGGGCCCTCCCGCCGGCCTCTGCCCACCCCCGGGAGCGGGGCTGGGTCGATCGCACCACCAGCGTGGTCATCCAGCCACGCCACTCGGATGAGATGTGAGGGCTTGGCCAGCAGCCCGTGAATGGCGGGACAGGCTGGCAGACGCCGCCATGGAAAGACCGGGGGGCTCCCGGCCTGCCACTTTTTTGCAGGGGGAGAAGAGAAACTGTGCCTGGTGGAGAGACAGAAGCATTTATTTAGCATCCCGGACCCTGGCACCTGGGGGGGGGGAGGCATCCTCCAGCTCATTGGGCGAGGGGGGGCTCCAAGAAACGGCTCCACTCCAGAGTCCGACTCTGGTCTTGAGGGGCCCAGAACTGAGCCATGGAGGCCTGGACTGTGGCTCTTGTGACCCCCCCCACGTACCGCTTGTGTGTCACCTGTAGTGGAAGCCTCCTGAGAAGCAGCCTCTTCCTCCCCCTGCCTTTGCTTGTATCTCTTAGGGTGCCTCCACCCCCAGATTAGCAGTGGAGGGGGGCCCTTTGTGCAGGGGAACGAGCCAAAAGTGGGAGGGGTGCTATTTGCAGGTAGGGAGGCAGGCTGCTCCAGATGCATTGCCTTGGCATGTGTGGCCCCCACCCACAGAGCAGACCCCCCCGTTCAATCCAGGCACCTGGAAGAGCAACTCCAGCATCTGCCCAAAGGATGCGCTTTCATTGCTGAGACCCCCAGAAGCTGCCACCCTGGATCCCTGAATGCTCTTGCTGTGGCTCTTGCTCTGCCGCCTCCAGGCCCAGTCCTGACCTCTGAGTGGGTGGCGCTGTCTTGGTCCAGGGAAGAAGCCCTGCCCCCTGCCTGCTGAGATGCCCTGAAGGGAGTCCCTGCCCCCCCGTCAGGCTTGGAGGAGCTTCCTGGACAAAGGGCCCTGGCGACCCCCCTCCCTTCGCTCAAGGGGGCCCAGCAGGGCCATTGGTCAGGGCTGGAAACAGGAGCTGGAATCGAGCAGCCGTGGGCATGGGTGGCTGTGCAGAGCAGCCCCTTACCCATCCGGGGGGGGGGGAGAGATAGGCCTGGGGAGTAACCTGGAGCCCTTCTCCTTCCTTTCCACTCTTGAAATGGACTCCTCTTCCGTTTGTTTCATTGTTCTTGCTTTTATCAATTTTACCATTGAAAGAAGCTGGGTGGGGTGGGGAGGATAATAGTTTAGCCCAGAATCTGGATGTAAATGTAAATAATAAATGACTACAAAATGGTTCTCCTGCCTTGTTTTGTGAGTAAAGTGGAGGAGTGGGGGGAACCAGAAAATACTTCAGGATCCTTCCTAAAAACCAAGGGGGGGGGTCCCAATAAGTGACTTCTGCTCCAAGGGGCGGGTGGAAAAGCAGGTGGGAAAAGAAGGCAACCTGGCCCCAGATTTGTGTCTGGTTTACTCCTGAGCCTTTCTTCTCTGAATATGTCCCGAAAGGCAGCGGGTACAGATCGTTCCTCAGTGTTCACTCCTGAAGCCTTTCTCGTGAATGAGTCGAGCTGCCAGGCAGGAGAGGTCTGGGACCGAGAGCACGCCAGCTCAGGAGGCCAACGCTCCCGATGTGTTGGTTGGGTACCACCTCCTGCGTCTGTAACAGACGAAAGGCTGGATAGAAGTGTCGGGAAATAATAAATGAAAAGGAAAAAAGGAATGAGGGCCAGGACTTATGTGCAGACCTAGAAAAGACTGGGCCAGAACACAAGCAGGCCTGTCCCATTGCTGGTACTTTATTGGAGAATCATCTAGTCCAACCCCCCCCCCCAAATATCAACCTCTGCTTAAAAACCTCCAAAGGAGAGTCCACCACCTCTCGACAGAGTCTGTTCCACTGTCTCTTGCTGTCAAAGAATTCTTCCTGATGTTTATTTTTTGTTTTAATGCTTTATTAATTTTGCAAATAAAAAAGACAATCGGCAACAACAGTCCAAAATCTAAATCAAAATGCAGATTAAAATATGCATAGCGATTAAAAGAAAAACAAAAAAGAAGAAAAGAAAGAAAAATAAAAAACTGTTCAATACAATCATTTAAGGAGTACAAACCACAATTTAAATATTCTATACATACAGTTTCTAGAAAGACATTACCTTCATATTTGTACTTTTCATCTCTATTTAATCTGATTCTCTAAACTGGTTTTGATGTGTTTTTTGACTTCCCTCTAACCGATGTTTAGTTGGAATCTCCTTCCTTGTCACTTGAGTTCGTCCGTTCAGGTCAGAGCCTCCAGAGCTTGCTCTTCCCTTGCTGGGGAGGGAGGGCGGGGGCCTGTCGCAGCCATGGTGTCTTTTTGTAGAAGAAATAATCTCTATAAATGTTTAATCAAGAAGGGAAAGGGAAGCCCTCTTCCTGCAGGTGGTAGATGGGAGAGCAGCCGCGGCAGCAAGCGAGTCTCTCGGATCCCGTTATGCTGCTCGTGTGAAGACGTTCCTGCCAACCCTGCAAAGAGACAGAGTGAGGCTGAGGCTGCTCCTTGTGCTTGCCCGGCTCTGAGTGGGGCTGATGTCGTGCATGGCCCCCACGAACCCCCCTTGGTCCTTGTGGTTGTCACCTGCCCCAGGGGCATTTTCCAAAGTCCTCCCATGGTGGCCGGGTGGGGGCTTCCCCTGGCTGCCCCCAGACATAAGATGATGTCCCCCAAGGGAGCAGTGTGGCAGCATCACCCTCCTGCAAGCACCACAGAGCCTCCAAGCAGAGGTTTTGCACCTACGCTGGTTCTTACTGTCCTTGCTTGGCAAGAGGGAAATTGTATCCCCTGGAGGGGGGGGGGAAGAGTGGGTCAGGTGCAGCTCCAGCTGAGTGTGTTGTGGAAATGCACCTGAAAGCAGCACCAGGCGTATGATGGCGCGGGCTGGGGGCAGGTGGGAGAACCCCAGAGAAGGCCCCCGTCGAGAGCTGCTCCTTTCCGCTTACCGAGTGGCCTCCCAGTCATCGCCATGGGATTCCACCTTCTGCCGCAGCAGCCAAGTTGTCTCCAGGGTCTCCTTCCCTTCGGCATCCACAAAGCGCTGCCCCGCAAATGCAGCGATGGAGTCTGGGGAGGACAGAGGGGGGTGGGAGCGGAGTTATGGCCAGGGAACAGGGAGGCCAGGCAGAATTGCCTTGGGGAGGTCAAGCTCCCCCCCCGGCCCCTTGGGGCTCCCTGCCTGGCTGCAGCGAAGGCTGGCAACTCCAAGTCCTACAAGAATCCCATCCAACAGAGGTGAGCTCAGCAGCTCCTCTGGAACAATCAGACCCAAACATTGACCTATCAATTAACAAGTTTGAGACTTTAAAAAATATGTTAGCTTAGATTGTTGTGAGCCACCGTGGGATCTTAAGGGAGAAGGGCAGGTAATAAATCAGAACAACAAGGACAAAAGTGCCAAAGCGAAAGTCCTCACACTGTTGCCCTCTGGATTTGCAGTCCACCTTTCCCCCAACAATGGACTGTGGCTCAGGAGAGGCCACCTGCTTGGCATGTAGAAGGTCCCAGACTCAACCCCCAGCGGCATCTCCAGGGAGGGATGGGGCAGACTCTAGAACCCTGGAGAGGCGTTGCTGCCAGTCAGTGTGGACAATACTGAGCTAGATGGACCAGCGCTCTGACTCCAGTTCTACTTCTCAAACCTTTATTGGCGTATAAGCAGGATTTCAGTGGCTTCAGCACAATAAAGTCAGCTTCCTCTGTCCCAGAAATCATTATTGTTGTAATCATTTATTCAAGTTTATACACAGCCCTTTATCCAAAGATCTCTGGGCCAAGTACAACATTGAGGACTTTTATGCAGTGTAATAATTTATGCAGTGTAATAATTAAAACATAACAAGATGCCTGAGTGATGCAGACATGGGCAGGATCTAAATTATCAGCCTGTGAAATAAAGGAAACCCCCTGATCCGCCATGGGGATGCTGAAGCTGCCCCCCACCCCACCAGTCCTACCTTCAGCGGCCCCAGCCCACCCTGGAAAGCGGGGAGGGGTCCTTACCTGAAAACGACCAGTTGACCAGGAAGCCAAAGGTGTACTCCTCCTCGGCCCCCTTCGGGTCGTGCTGGGCGCCCACGAGCGGAGACACCCGAATGGGCTTCTGGGCTGCGGAGACGGCCGTCAGGTAGGAGCCTGTGAACTGGCCGGAGTCGTCGGGAGGGTTGAGGACCATCTTGGAGCCCAGCTCGTTGACCCACGTGCCGGCCAGGGAGCTCTGGGCTGGCGAGGAGGGCTAAGGAGGGAAAGAGGAGGGTCAGCAGGGGGGAGACTTCCCGGAACCCCCAGACCTTCCTCCCGGGGTGGTGGACTAGACGGCCACGTGCAGTCAGGGGCCCTGGCCCAAGAAATGAAGCGGCCCGAGGCTGGTTTGGGGGGCTCAGCCCTCAGGCCCCGATTCCTCACTTCTGCCCCCGACGGGGCGGGTGAGGGCTCCGCGTCTGAAACTGCTCCTAGCGCTAAATCCCAAGCGGGATGGGTAGAAACTTTCGTGGCTGCGGCCTGAAGGCGAAGTGGGCGCGCCTCGCCGCCTAGGACCCCTCTCCGTCTCTCTCTCTGTCCCAGAAGGGGCAGCCCCGGGCGCGCGCGCACGGAGGGGGCATCCGGGCGCTGCTGGCTCAGCCTTCGGGGCCGCAGAACCCGCCCTGCCCGGCGGCGTCGAGGCAGCGCCCCACCCCGGCCCGCCCCCTTCCTCCCCAAAAGGGCGGCGGCAGGGCTGCCCCTGCCTCTGGGCGCCCCTCCCGGACCGACGCCTGCCCGGTGCCTGGAGGGGGCTCCCGCCGCGACGTCCTGCGGCCTCCCTGCCAAAGGACCCGTCCGGAGCCCCCGAGAGGCAGCGGGTGGCCAGTCCCCCCCCCCCAGCAGGAGGAGACCAGTGGGCCCCCAGCCCAGGGTCTCCTTTCTCCCGCAAGGACACCCGAGCAGAGCAACCGCCCCTCTCCCCGCTCCTGCGCGTCCCCAGTAACGGGAACTGACTCTTTTGCGGGGGAAGGAAGGTCGGAGGTGGCGCAGAAGCGCCTTATCCGCCTCCCCGTCCAAGTCTCTCCCCTCCCCGGGAGTCTGCCTTGCGGCGGTAGACGCTCCGCCCCGCCCGGCCTCACCTTCCGCCGCTTCTCCGCCGCCTCGACGACGGGCAGGACCGGCGGGTCCGAGCGGGAATAGGTGAATCCGGCCGTCGCGCCGGCGGCCAAGAGCAGCGCCACGGCGGGCGCGCGGGCCACTTTGCTCCACATCTTGCTGCCGAAGAGCTCCGAGCCCGGCGAGCCCCGGCCGCCCTCATATAGCCTCCGGCCGCCCCCTCCCCCCACTTCCCGGTGCTTTCTGAGAAACCAGCTGATTTTCCTTTCCCCCGCAAAACCGAAAGTCCGCGAGTTGTTGACGCAGGGTTTTCCTTTCACTTCTCCAAAAATACCGGCATCTTTCCTTCCGGCCAAGCCCGGCTCAGGGCTCTCGCTCACCCGCGTGCCTTCCCTAAGGGGCGGGGGGGGGCGACTGGAGGAGGGGGATTTGGAGGGGAGAATCCGTGGGCGGGGAATGCGGCGCAGGGGGGGCTTCAGAAGAACCTGTGTCCTCAGAGGGCCCGACCGGAGGGGATGCAGGACATCATTGCAGAACCTCTGCCCACTCGCTGCGCCCCACCTTGGAAGTCCAGTGGTACCTCGGGTTAAGAACTTAATTCGTTCTGGAGCTCCGTTCTTAACCTGAAACTGTTCTTAACCTGAAGCACCACTTTAGCTAATGGGGCCTCCCGCTGCCGCCGTGCAATATCTGTTCTCATCCTGAAGCAAAGTTCTTAACTCGAGGTACTATTTCTGGGTTAGCGGAGTCTGTAACCTGAAGCGTATGCAACCTGAAGTGTCTGTAACCCGAGGTACCACTGTAGCCCAGAGCCATGAGAACAGAAGGGCCTGACCGGAAGGGATGCTGGACATCATTGCAGAACCTCTGCCCACTCGCTGCGCCCCTCCTTGGAAGGAGCCCAGAGCCATGAGAACAGAAGGAGACACTGCCTGATGAGGCCAAAGAGGACCTTCAGGTTCAGCCTCTGTCTCAAGGTGGCCCATCTGAGCCCTCTGCCTTCCTGCCAGTTCCAGCAACTGAGATTCAGAAGCATCGCTGCCTCAAGCTTCCTTCTCCTCCCGCTCCTCCCCCCACACCGTTCACCCTTCTCCCCCTGCCAGTCCTGGTCCCAGCTCTGAGCCTCTACAAGGTCCAGCGGAGTGGGGAAGTGGTCCATCATCAGTCCAGTGAGGAAGACAGAGGTGGGGCTGGGCTGAGCAGGAGGAAGAAGGAAGGTCAAGCAAGATCCCAGGACCTTTGATACCCTCCGGTTGACCTGTGGTTCCCATCTGGAGGGGTCATGCTCGCTCAAGGGGTTCTTGAGTTGTTTGTCGCAAAGTTGTGACACAGATCACTCCCTCGTGGTGAGCCAGATCCATCTCCAGCCAGAGGACCCATAGCACAAAGCAGAAAGCACAACCTCCCATAAACACTGCCAGAACAGCCATATGTACTTTGTGAACTCTGATTCCATTGAACAAGCTCTACTGAACTGCCCTAGAGACAGCATCAAAGCAAGGGGGAACCACATCAAAGAGACAACCTCCTTTGGCAAAAGAGAGAAGCAGATTTCTGACTGCTTTGAGGCCGGCATAACAGACAGGGAGCTTGTTATGGCTGCAAAGCATGAGACTCTCCTGAACTCCAAGCCTGCACCCTGAAAGAAGACGCTTGCTACACTGAGAAAGGCAATTTATAATAATAATAATAATAATAAAAACCCCTCTATTCGGAAAATCTCTTTAAAAAATTGTTTTTGTTCTTTGTTTTGTTTCCTGGTGAAACTGAAAGTAAAGCAGTGATCATTAGCCACGAGAAAGCATTTGTTTTGAGATAACAATTTTGCAGCTGTGGTTCAAAGGGGAAAACATTAAGATGGATAGACTGGCTAATAACATCCTGAACTTTAGAATAATAGAATTGTAGAGTTGGAAGGAACGGGGGGTGGGGGGTCTCCTAGTCTAACCCCTGCTTTGCAGGAATCTCAACTAGGTCTTGTGTGACATGTCCATCCAACTTCTGCTTAAAAACTCAAAGGAGAGTCCACCACCTTCTGAAGGAGTTTGTGCCACTGTCAAACAGTTTTTACTGTCAGAAAGTTCTTCCTAATGTTTAGTCAGAATCTCCTGTCTTGTAACTTGATTACAAGACATTGTTTTGAGTCCTGCCCTCCAGAACAGGAACTGGACATAACTGGACACAGTATTCCAAGGCAGAATAGAACATTGCACAAACCGGAAGCCACCACAGAAAAGGCCCATTCTCATGTGGCCACCCTGTGGACCTCTCATGGAGGAGGCGCAGGAAGAAGGGCCTCAGGTGGTGGTCGCAGGGTCCAGAAACTCTTCCACATCCTTGACCTCAGAGATCCTTTAACTGGTCTACTGCTCCACCTCTGGGCCACTGACAATGAGGCTCCTTGTACAGAAATATCCTTGGAGGTAAGCATGGACCAATGGTACCAAATAGTATGGGAAACAGCCCTACTAGAAAAATTAACTAATAAATTGAAACTGACACGGGGACAAACAGAAGAAGACGCCTTCACCCCGGTATGGCTCCCCTTTATCACATACACAGCCCAACAGGACAATGACAATAATCCACCAACAGCATACAAATCAATATGGCTAACCTGATCCAAAACACCCACCCACCTCACTCACACACGAAAACAAAGATCACCACAGCCAATCACAAGCAAACAATCACACCCTAGGCCAACCCCAACCTCTCTCACCACCAAAGGAACACAAGTGAACAACACAAGCAACGCTGACACCAAACTCTACATACATTAAACATAATAGAAACACCGCCACCCGACCCCACCCCCATCCATCTTCCCTCTCTCCACCCCCCTTTCTTTTTTCTTTTTTTTCTTCTCCCCCTAATGCCTCAACAAATGAAACAATGTTACATGTTACATGTAAAAATGTTACATGGGGGGAAAAAATACGAGGCATTACACTTACTTCTGTAAAACAAGAAAATCCTTAATAAAATATACTGAAGAGGTAAAAAAAGAAGAAGAAAAGAAATATCCTTGGAGACGCAGCTCAGCCTCCACTTGACTGGGATCATTCTCAAGACTCAGCTTCTCTTCCTCGTCAGAAAAGCATGAACAAAACTAATACCTTCCCTGAGTGTTTTGGATTATGACCAAGTATGGCACACCTTCCTGTCCAATATATCCTAAGGAAGGCTTCTTTCAGAGAAGAGAAGCAGGCATGCCTGGAGATTTTAATAGAAATAGTTTTTAATACTGATTAATCTTTATTTTTATTTTTTTCAATAATTTTTTATTAAAATTTTAAACAAACAAAAAAAAAGAAAAACAACACACACAAAAAACAATACAAAACTTAACAATAAAAACACAAAACATAGCAATTAAAAACAAACTCTCTTTTCCATTTCCAATTTTAAATTACTTATTTTCTGGACTTCCTCATACCTCCCTCTTTTGTATTCCAATCTACATTGTTTGTCCAGCAGTTTCTTTTCCACTTTTCTAATCCCAATCTTTAATTTAATAAAACGTTAAGATATATAACTTCAACTTTTTTAAACCTAATCCTTGATCTTAATGTCATACAACTTTAAATTTTTCCCTTTTATTATCAAATTTCCATTTCTTTAAACATCTTTAATCTTGATCTTTAATCTTAATCTATCCTTAACTTTAACCTGTACAGCTGGAAACCACTTGTTTTCAGTCCAACATCACTCTAACATTCCTTCATTTTGCAGTGTTTCTGAAGATAGTCTTTGAATTTCTTCCAGTCTTCCTCCATCGACTCTTCTCCCTGGTCACGGATTCTACCAGTCATTTCCGCCAATTCCATATAGTCCATAAGTTTCATCTGCCATTCCTCCAGCGTGGGAAGTTCTTGTGTCTTCCAATACTTTGCGATGAGTATTCTTGCTGCTGTTGTTGCATACATAAAGAAAGTTCTATCCTTTTTAACACCATTTGGCCGACTATGCCCAGGAGAAAGGCCTCTGGTTTCTTAGGGAAGGTATACTTAAATACCTTTTTAATTCATTATATATCATTTCCCAGAAAGCCTTAATCTTTGGGCACGTCCACCAAAGGTGAAAAAATGTACCTTCAGTTTCTTTACATTTCCAACATTTGTTATCGGGCAAGTGATAGATTTTCGCAAGCTTGACTGGGGTTATGTACCACCTGTATATCATTTTCATAATATTCTCTCTTAAGGCATTACATGCCGTAAATTTCATACCTGTGGTCCATAACTGTTCCCAGTCAGCAAACATAATGTTATGGCCAACGTCCTGTGCCCATTTAATCATAGCCGATTTTACCGTTTCATCTTGAGTATTCCATTTCAGCAGCAAGTTATACATTCTTGACAAGTTCTTATTACAAAGGTAACAGCTGTGCTGCCATGGGACCCAAGAAGGCTGCTGCTGTGGAGGCCGGCGAGAGGAAGAAGGAGAAGGTGACGCTGGAGATGAAGAAGGAGATCATCCGGAAGCACGACGGTGGAATGCGTGTGACGGACCTCGCCAGGGAGTACGGCAGGAACCCATCGACCATCGGGACCATCCTGAAGATGAGAGAGAAGATCCTTGCGACTGATGCAGCCAAGGGAGTCACCAGGATCGTGAAGAACCGCCCAGCTGTTCTGGAGGAGGTCGAAAAGTTGCTGCTCATCTGGTTAGAAGAGAAGCAGCGTGCAGGGGACACAGTGACTGAGGCCGTGATTTGTGAGAAGGCCAAGGCCTTGCACGCAGACCTCATCCGGGAACAGCCAGGAACCTCGGCCGAGCCAGAAGTCTTCAAGGCAAGCAGAGGCTGGTTTGACCGGTTCAAGGCAAGATCCGGAATCCACAGCGTGGTCAGGCATGGAGAGGCTGCCAGTTCTGATGTTCCTGCGGCTGAAGACTTTGCCTTGGAGTTCCTGGAGGTTGTGAAGACGGAGGGCTACGTTCCACAGCAGGTCTTCAACTGCGACGAGACTGGGCTGTTTTGGAAGAGGATGCCCAAAAGGACTTTCCTCACACAGGAGGAGGCCAAGTTGCCTGGCCACAAGCCCATGAAGGACCGTCTGACCCTGCTCTTCTGTGCCAACGCAAGCGGCGACCTGAAGATCAAGCCCCTGCTGGTGTACCACTCGGAGAACCCACGGGCCTTCAAGAAACACAAGGTCGACAAGGAGCGGCTGAGTGTCATGTGGCGATCCAACAGCAAGGCTTGGGTCACACGTGTGCTGTTTGTGGA